TGATTCCTTTTATGGAAGATAGTTAATTCATTTCATGGTAAAGGAGACTCCAAGCCCAGGGCTCAGAATATGCAAAGTCCCAGAAGACACATGTGAGCATGAGTGTGGGTCATAGTGAGTAGTAGTTCATGGTGGCTGCAGAGCAAGTTCCTCTGGGTGACTGACTGTGTGTGTGAGGGGGGTACTGGTGACAGGAGACATGACTCAAGAGTTAGATCCAGTGTCACCAAGGAATCTATATGCTGGTACAGGTTGAATCATTTCCCTCCAAAAATGTTCTAGTATCCAAGACTGTGAGCTTACTTGGAAGCAGAGTCTTTGCAGATGATCAGGTTTAAAGGAGGTCACTATCCCAATATGAGTGATGTCCTTAGGAAAAGAGCAAATCTGGACACAGGCATACTGAAGGAAAATGATAAGGACCAAAGGGAGAATGCCATTCAAAAGTCAAGGGATGCAGAGGCTGCAAGCAAGAGAGAGGCAGAGAGAAGATTCTCCCTCAGCTCTTCTGAGGAACCAACACTGAAATAGGACTTAGGACTTGTAGTTTCCAGGTTTCTAAGACAATACATTTATGTCCTTCACACCACTCAATCTGGAGTACTTTGTTACAGCAGCTCCTAAAAACTAATCCACAGACCAAAGTTAACAATGTAGATTTTAGTACACAGATAAAGGAAAGTCACTGAAGGATTTTATGTGGGAGATTCACATGATCACACTGCAAGTTAGAAAGATCATGCTCCTTCACAGTCATGTGTGCATTTGGATCAGAGCAGGAAAGATGAGAGGCAAGAGTTCATTTAAACTCCTGAAACACTTCAGGCAAAACATAATGTGAATTAAGACAGGGCAGATTTATAAAGTATTGAGGAGTAAATTGTCAAGGAAGCCAGGTTCATGTTATTAGAGAAATGAAAGGACACTTACCGTGAGTCCACTTTAAAAGGGAGAAAATGCTTGATTTGGATTTGGACTTGAAAAAATAAATAAAAACTGTGAGATAAAATTATCTTATGTTGAACATTATTTTGGTTATAAAGGCAACCATGTGCATTAATTTTAAATAAACAGAGAACAAACTGTGAATTGTTTTGTATTTTGACTTTTCTTTTCTGGAAAGATTATGTGACACATTACGGCTGTCTTCACTTTCAGAGCCAGAGCATAACAGAGCTACTTGTACAAAAATAAAATGGAGAGTTTCATCAGGGCTCTCATGTCCTCCTTTAATACTGTGACACGCTAACTATTCTCATTTGAAGTGCCTTTCACATTGTCATTATTTTCATTTTCTGTTTTAGTTGCCAATTGGTCTATGTCTGCCTGTGTGCTCACTTGTCAATGGTTTAGACTAGAAATAGGGCACAACACTGGTGTCAATCTGGAATAATACACCTCAACATTTAGGGTTGTATGTTCTTTTCCCTCTTCTTTATCATGTCAATGAGAGTTCCATGCTTAAAAAAAACTGTAGTAACCATTTAAAGTCTGTGCAAATTTCAAACCATTTATTTTACAATCATCTTTCCAGAAAAAGAGTGCAGGATAGTGTACAGAAAAGGGATGGCAGCGGAGGGCTACAAACCAGGAGACTGGCTCTGCCAGCAGCTCACTGGGTAGGCTCTTCCTCTTTGCCATCCAGAAGAGACAGAGTTTGGATTAGATGTCATCTAATGAGAAATGTTTCATGTTTGGGTTTGACATTGTAGTATACAATTTATTTACTATGTGTTCATGGACAAGTCACAAACTATCTAAAACCCTAAAATTCAGTTCTCATAAGCAGAAAGCAAAAGCATTTTGCTCATTATTAATTCATTACCATATTTCTGAAAGAAGGTAAGGTATGAAGAATAGGAGCCACTTTTCACCAAGCAGAGACTACTGAGGGTAGTGATGTTCACATGTTTGCAAGAGAAAAACACCTAATATAGCATAGATATCAGTAATGAGCAAGTTCATTTTACCATTTTAAAATTTTATTGTAGCTAGAAAAGGATTTATGTATTGTAGAATCCTTAAAACCCCTCAGCAGAGGCTGGTACACAGGGGGCACAATGTGAAAAGCAATGAACATTTCTGGAAAACACAGCAAAGATTCAATGTTTTTTATGGCTACCACAGCATAATGGTATTTATGTTGTACCAAACATAGAAACAGATTCACTATTTTGATAAAGAATATTTTTGGTGTCATATAAAAAGGAAAACACAGGATTTATATATTCCCATGGAGGCAGGCTTTAAATGGGACACTCAGATGGAATTGTGGTGGGCTGACGACCTAGTTCAATTTAAAAAAAAAAAAAAAACTGGTAATTGATCTCATTATCTCCACCCTTTTTCTCCCCATTTCAGGATTTGAGTAATCTTCTAAAAATGTAAATCTGATTTATCACTTTGTTGCTCAAACCTCCAATGTGTTCTCACTGACTCTCTGGGGCAAGTCCAAATGCTTACCATGGCCCTTGCTCATGTCTGATCTCATCTCATGACACACTGATTTCCTTTCCATCCTGTTCCTTGAACACACAGACCTCTTTTCCTCAGGGCCTTTGCACATACACATCCCTCTGCCCAGAACACTCTTTCCTCTACATATCTGGCCAATTCCTACTCGCCTTTTTGGCCTTGACATAAATAACCTCCTCAAGAGGCCTTTTCCAAATACCCGCACACTCCACCTGGCTCCACTACTCTATTTTGGGCTCTTGTATTATTCTTTCAACTCTATTTTCTTCTTCATAGCATTTATTATAATTTAACTCATGTACTGATTTATGTTTCTGTCTATTGAACATCTGCCTCCTGCCCCTTCCCAAGTCTAGTTTTAGGAAAACATTTTACAGAACAATATAGTACATGATTCCAACTTCATGGGAAAACCTGTTGAGAAATAAAACTATGTTTTCTCCCTCCCCATACACTTAGCACAAGAGTCATTTCTCTAGAGATAGAAGGGTTGCTCCAAGTGGATATATACTCAACACTACTCCTACATACAGTCATCCCTAGAGAGCTACAGGGGATTGTTCTAAGACATTTCCTCTCCACCGCAGATACCAAAATTTATGAATCCTTAAGTCTCTTTTACAAAATGTTATCTTTGCATATAATCTACCTATATCTTCTTATATGCTTTAAAATCATCTCTAGAGTACTTGTAATACCTAACACAATGTGAATGCTACATAAATAGCTGTTATACTATTCTATTTAAGGAATAATGACAAGAAAATTAGAGTCTGTACCTGTTCAGTACAGATGCAAATTTTTTTCCAGTGAGGGGGATCAAACTCAGGCTTTTGCATATGTTAGGCAAGTGCCCTGCCATTGAGCTATATCCCCAGCCATTTTTCAAATATTTTTGATCTATGGCTGGTATGGATCTGTGGATGCAAAATGCATAGAAAAAACTACAACTGTGTTTGATGTTTGTAGAAAGCTCTGGACACACTTGACAACACGGATGTCCTGCCCTGTAGTTAGAGCAAACATTCCTAAAAGCCCTTGTATGTTGTCTCTTCTGTAATGAATATTCTGGTGTGGGATACAGTCAGCCTGGGGGTGAGGGCAAGAGGTGGCAGGAAAGCAGATGGCCTTATGCTATTTCTGGGCTTTGCCAGGCCCACCAAGTTAGTCTGTTGGCCTCAATTACATCATCTCAGCTGATCACAACAGCATGGCTCTAGCACAAGCCAAGAAGTTCCCAGTATTTCTTTAGACTACTATCAAAGTTGGAAATATGAGAATGAACACAAAACATGGTGTCCATTTCATTACAGGTATAGTCTCATAAGGATTAAGCAAGCCTGGAACTTGCCTCCTAGTGAGATTTGCGAGTTAAGAGAGCAAGACTCCTAAGGAAAGGGTGCCCATCTCCAAGATGTGAGGGTCTAATGTTTAGGGTGGCCTCACTTATTTAATACACCTTCACCACTCTCATGCCATCATATAGGCATCTTAGCTGATGATTTCAAAGAATCAAAATCAGAAGGGAATTCTAGAAGCACAATTTATTTCCTGAATAAATAGAAGATACTATACATCAACATGGCAGGAAGTCATAACCTTTCTCAGTCACTTATAACCCAGAACATAGTAAAACTTGCCTTTGGTAAACAAAGGCCACCCATCAGATGGGCAGTATAATTACTAAAGGCAGGGAAGAGATTTTGGTAAAGAGAGAGGAGGTGACGGAATGGACTATAGAGGATTATACATATTTAGCATCTAATTCTTATTGCAGAAGACTGGCCTACACAATAAAGAAAAATGAAGGAGTTTACGGTTTAGATTCAGAAAGTTCTTGTGTAACAAACTGATGATGCATCAAAATCATTGTAGCCAGCAACTCTCAGAGACAAAGGAACATGGGAAAAGCCTAAATCTTTTCTGATAAAATTACCCAGGATGGAACAAGAACTTAGACCAAGATGTTGATTAACTTTACCAAGAAGACCAAAAAGAAGTCATCTTCATCAATTATTTGCAGGCTATAACATTATAACACACAATTCGAGATCTAAGACAAGTCAACAGGAAAGGTAATAACATATCTATGTGAAGCCGATGTAACAAACAGGAGCTCACTCAGTCACCTGACAGATAGAGATCAAGCACCCTGTGTGCCAGTTCTAACTCTACCTCAGATCCTGTCCTCTCTGCTAGGGCATTAGAGGAAGAAGTGCCCATAAGGAGATGGGAAGGAAGAAGAAGAGAACAACCTAGTGACCTGGTTTTGCTAGAAGCAAGCCAGTTTATTTTGCTCATTCATGTTTGCTGCTACAGAAGACTGCTGCTTAGCAAGGCTGCATTTGAGCATCTCTGGAAGAAATAGGCCAGTGCACAACTTGAGCATTGAAGAGAGCTCTGAAGCAGGCTTAGCCAACCTACCTGTGTGAGTCTTGAGTCGCTGGGCACAGCTGAGTTTCTCAGCAGGAGGCAGTGTTACCCTCCAGACACATTATATCCTAGGAATACAAGACAGCACATACCTGGGTGGACAGGGCTCTGTGTTACAGGCCTGGCTCATTGCTGGAGGACGGTGGACCATATCACACAAGCTGTCATTGACCGTCTGCTGAGTCTGGATATGTAAGCACACTGCTATGGCTTCTTGATGGCCTGGAGGGTGGTAAGAGAAAAAAATGCAAATGACATAGAATAGCTTATTGTAGAAAGAAAGAAAACAAGGTCTTAGGTCTTCTCATTCTTAGGTTGCTGCCCTTTCGACTACATCATGGGGCTGCAGGATGAATTTCAGGGCACAAGTACAAGCAAACACCTTGACATGACCCAAAGTCTCCCCATCTTTGAAGTCCTTCATTCACATTTTAAGCACAGTCCCTCTCCTCTCTCTCTCCCCCAAGCCCACTCATCTTGACAACATTTGATTCTCCATCTACCCTCAGAACTTACCTGCATCTAAATGTACTTGAAGCCAAACATTTCAATGATCCTTCCCATAATGTACAACAGTTTCCCTAAGAGGAATTTTCATGCCAGCTGCCAAAGAATCACATTTGCTCTATATCATTTCATATGTGCCAAATCCAATGTATAACTTTCAAAATTTTTCATCATGGTTTGAGATGCTGTTCACTGTTACCATAATTAGCAATATTTTGATTGCTAACAAAACATAGCAATAATTTCTATTAAGAAAGGGTACAAAGTACTCTCATTATGTTATTTGAGCCCAAAATTATCTTGGGAAGCCCAAAATGATATTCTTATCTCCATTTTATTAATTTAATAAGGAAACTAAAGTTTGGAGAGAAACGCAGACAGGAAAATGTGGCAGATTAAAAACTAGAAATCAAATTCCCTGCCTCCAGGATGTGATATATCCCCAAGTAGTGACTGCTCCTTGTTCAAATAAGAACTTCCACAAGTGTATTTTCCCTCTGAGGCCACAAAGATCTGTCTAACCTCAAAGCCCATGTTTTCCACTGCTCTTTTTTGTTAAGACAAAAGAGAATTACTATAAAATTGGAATTGAATAAAATATAAATCAAAATTTTGATTTAAAAAGTCAAATAAGAATGGTAACAGCCCCTGACCATGCTATTTGAAATATGTAAATGTATTCAGTTTCATGTTAGAATGCACGTTCCATTATGTTACAACTTGTGGTTCTTTTTCCAAATGCCATGTTTCAATCCAACCATTTTACAGCACTCTGCAGAATGCAGTATAGGCCAAAAACATTTATAAAATATATATTTGTAATACTCAGTTCTTTCCAACAAATTTTCTCCTGCTGTCTTCCGTTGTAATTTTACGGTGCCTGACATAGTGGGATGCAGTCTTAAATCTATCTACATGCATCTTCCTTGAACTTTTAAAATAAACATTGGCTAACCTGAAATGTAAGAAAATACTGCTACAACTTCATAACTGGTTCTTATTTGCAAATATCAAAGCTTCCTTAGTGACTTAACATGTATATTAATGTTCATTTTATAGTAGTTTCATTCTTTTTTAATCTGAGAAAAATCCAGTTCCCTTTGGAATACAGTTTAATTTGAATTAAAAATTCTTTAGAAAATATATTGAGACTATTATGAGTATGTTTTGGAGACTACCTGGTGAGACTTTAAGCACTATTTTAACCATTTTTGAATGGAATTGTCTAATACTTGTGACATAACTTCTCTGTCTTACAGCAAGTTTGCTGAAAATAATTTAAAATTTTACTAGATGATTTGGCATATTTTTGGTATAGAATCATTTTCCAAAGATAACCACAAAATATTTCTCATCTTCCATGCTACTCTTACAATGTGACCTTGACACTTTCTACTTCAAGACATTTCATCAAACAATTATCTTAAAGAATACAAGTAAAATAGCTGGAAATGGTGGTGCACACCTGTAATTCTAGCAACTGAGGAGTCTGAGGCAGGAGGATCACAAATTCAAGATCAGCTTGGGCAACTCAGCAAGACCCTGTCTCAAAAAATAAAAAGGGCTGTGGACACAGCTCAGTGATAGAGCACCTTTGGGTTCAATGCCAAGCACCAACAAAAGTAAAACAGTAAAACAAAAGTTAAAAATTATAAATATAAGTTTCATCTTCTACTTGTCAAATTTCAGGCAGTAATTGCAACTATGCATTTAGATATTTAAATTAACTCAAGAATTGAAATTTCAGGATGATTTTTCCAGTAAATTCCCTGACTGGCACAAAGCGACAACAGTTACTTCACATTTGACTTCAGTAGTGTTATGATAAAAGGATCTTTTTCCTTCTTTCTCTCTTTCTTTTAGCAAATATGTATATAGTCATATGTCACTTAATCACAGAGACAAGGTCTAAGAAACACATTCCTGGTGATTTTGTCACTGTGACAACATCACAAAGTGTACTTATACAAATGCATATGGCTATGATATCACTAGGTGATATAACCTTAAGGGACCACAGTTACATATGCAGTGCTGCATGACTACACATATATACTCCAAGTCTTCATCAAGAAATAAATTAACGATTAAAGGGTAAAACACAGACTCTAGGAGAGAAGCAAAGCCCAAAACGAACTAACACATTCCTTTTTGTTGGCTTAGGTTAGTTTGAGTTGGGTTCCTCATATGTATATAAGAGTCTTGACTGGTTTAAAATGCAAAGTGACACACATACACAAACACACACAGATACAGGCCTGGAGCCATTGTTCTGAAAAGAACAATTAAAATATTTTTTTTAATCTGCAGATAAGCTGGTACGATAGAGTAGCAAACACATAAAATCTAAGGTAATGAAAACTAGGGGAAGCATCATATGTTATGGACTCAGAGAAGAGCCAAAGAACAATATCACGCATCACTAAACACTCCAGTTGAACAGGGCTCCAAATAGGTGAGGAGCCAGCTGAAGCGACAGCTGGTAAAGATTAAGGGTTGTCGAAAGCCATTTGGTCCTATGAAGGGTATCATAAACATCACTGGAGCCTGAGAGGAAGTGACCAATTATATTAAGAGTAGCTGGAAAAAACTGCAGCTTGAGGCCTGTCATGATGGAAGGGATTCGCAGAGAACAAAACAGTGACAGCTAATGTACCATGTCGGGAACACGTCTCCACAGGGAGCATGTGTAAACGAGCCCAAAGCGAGCCCATTCAATTCTTATTCTCCTTCCACTGTTTGCAGGAAGGCACTCTGGTATTCCACTCTACATAGCAGAGTACACCTACACACATTCTGTGTCACTCATAAATATATGCAAAATCCTACATTAAATACTATCAGATCAGTCTGCCATAAAATACTACTACATTGTGACCTCAAAAGCCTGTCCTCTCACCTACACTATCCCTCTCAGAAAATATTCATGCATGCACACAAAACAGAAACTACCAGGGAGCAACTTCCTTTCATAAGCATAGAAACCCACCTTTGGATTACTTTGCCTTTCACTTTCATTCTGGAGATTTCCCAGAGTCTTTCAAATATTATCCAAGATTATCTGACAATAACCCAACCCAACACAACACATACACACCCAACTCCCCCTCAACCCATGATACCGTCCAGTCATCTCCTCTCTGTCCTATCATGGCCAAATATTGACACACACACACACACACACACACACACACACACACACACAAATCTATTAATTTCCATTTTGCCATCTCTCAGTCATTCCTCAGCTCTCTTAAATTTGGCCTCGATCTCTGCTATTCCAACGACAAGACCCTTTCTTTGGTCACCCCTGACTTTGCATTGCTGAGCCCAGTGTTAACTCTGAATTCCTACCTTGCCATCCCACCATATCACACCCTTCTGTTTTCTCCCCATCTTACTGATCTTTTCTTCTTGTATATTTTTGCAGCTCTGTGTCCTCCACCTAGCCATTAAATGTTGATTTTCCTCATGACTTTGACTTTAACACACTCTTCACATATATCTTCTTCCTGAAAATTCTCAGCCACACCTCTGTGAATCTGTAGTTCAGACATCTCCACTTTGCTTCAGAATCACACACCTGACTGCTATGTAGCATCTCCATTTGGAAAGTCTAAAGGCACCTTAAAATATTAAATGAATTCATTGTTTCCCTTCTCAAACTGGTCACTCATCACCTTCTAAAAGAAGACTCAGACTCAGATTAACCAACTCCTTCCTTTTTACCCTCTCCCTTGACAGACTCTTCTACATCTCTCAAAGTCATCCTCCTTCTTCCCTGACACCACTACCATCCCGACTCCAGAACAAGCTTTCCTTCTTTATTTCTTTTCTTTCTTTCTTTTCTTTCTTTTTTTTTAGAGAGAGAGAGAGAGAGAGAGAAAGAGAGAATTTTTTAATATTTATTTTTCAGTTATCGGTGGACACAACATCTTTGTTTGTATGTGGTGCTGAGGATCGAACCCGGGTCGCATGCATGCCAGGCAAGCGCGCTACCACTTGAGCCACATCCCCAGCCCTTTTCTTTCTTTTTTTTTTTATACCAGGGATTGAATCCAGGGGTACTTAGCCTCTGAGCCGCATCCCCAGCCCTTTTTATTTTTCATTTTGAGACAGGATCTCACTAAGTTGCTTAGAGCCTCACTAAGTTGCTGAGGATGGCTTTGAACTTGTGATCCTCTTGCCTCAGCCTCCCAAATCACTGGGATTACAGGTGTGTGCCACCACACCTGGCCTTGCCTGGAAAAGGCAATAGCTTCCTGTTGTTCCTTATGACTATTCTTGTGCCTTCTGTTCCACTCTCTATGATGTGAGAGGGTGGAAATAAATAAAAATTTGGTCATGTCACTCCCTCTTTAATTACTAGAATGGCTTCCTATGATCTTCAAAGATCCAAATCAAACTGGCCTGCTATGCCTCAATTTTCTGGCCTCCGCCTTCCTCCCTAACATCATTTCACACTGAGCTCTGCCTAACTGTCAATCCTCCAGCTGTACCTGGCTCCTTCAGGCCAGGAAATGTGTCACACACCATGCTGCCACACATCAAGGGCCTCTGCACATGCTCCCTCTGTGAAGTTCTCTCAGGGCCTCCCCCTCCAAACCCTCCTTTGCTTAACCAATTCTTCATAAATTACATCAATTAAAAACTCAAGTTTTTAGAGAGGCTTATCCTGACTTTACTAATTAGGCCAAGTTCCCTCTCTTGTATGCTTTCATAGTACCACATTCTTCTTTTGCAGCTGCTATCACCAGTGGTAACTGTACACATGTGGGTGATCATGTGGTTAATGCCCTTGCCCCATTAGAATGGACTTGCAAAGTTAGGAGCTACTGCTATCACCCAACCTACTACACGGAAACACACACTAACTATTTGCTAAATGTTGTTTTGAAATGAAAAAAAAAACATAGATTTCCATTACTGCTAGGACCAAGCCAACATTGATATTATCCACATTATGAACTATTTTTCTTGAAATTCTAGACAAGCAATCAGATATGAAACATGATAAATATTTTGAAGAAAGAATAAAATCTTCAATATTTGCAGATGAATACATAGAAAACTCATAAAAAATGAGCAGGAAAACTATTAAAATATTAAGAGATTCAACAATGTCAGTTTTGTGTTGTTCTTATTTTTGTTTCTTTTTGTGGTGCTGGGGATTAACCCCAGGGTCATGAGCATGTTAGGCAAGCACTCTACCAATGAGCTCCATCTCCAGCCCCATTAGTCAGATTCTTAAAAAGAGAAAAATAATCAGCATTCTAATGTAAAAGAAATACCCTATTATTATATCACAGTAATAATAACTCAAATGATGTTCATTACGTACCATGAACCAGATTATGATTAAACACTTCTCCAATATCACCTATTTAATACTCACATTTAATCCTTTCATTATTCCCTGTGAGGTAGGCATGGCTTTCCCCATTACACAAAAATGAACCACCCATCTACAAATTTCAGCAAATAGTTCAAAGAGAGCAGCAGAGCAGGGGTCAGGCCTCGAAAGTCCATTTAGTACTAGCCTGTGCTGTTAGAAAATATATAGGTGAAGACAACAACAGTATAAAATATGAAAGGACTTTGGTAAGGAATGTTTATGATGTAGCAAATTCTTCCCAGAGGGCACTAAAAAGGTGTATACACACACACACACACACACACACACGGTGCTGCACACCCTCCCAGCCTACCTACCTCCCTGCCTGCACAGGCATACACACATGCACACGCACATGTACATGCACACGCACATGTACACACACACACACATACACACATGCACTATGGAAGCTGGAGACTGAGTATGCCTGGATTCATCCCACTTTCAGGAATTAAAAAAGAACTCTCTTGCTATTTGCTACTCTAATGTGAAAGAAGACTTATGCAGCAACAATTTCAAAAAACGGTTTTATTTCCCCTATGATGTGAAGATAAGCTAGAAAATATACAGAATTTGAAGATGTGGCCAAATTTTTTGTTTTCACAATTTTATTTGTTACTCTTCTACCAGAATAGGGGTATTTAAGAAATAACTTCATGGCTTTGAGAATTTCATCTCACTGTGATGTCAGTCATCACAAGCTTGTCCTCTTTGCTATCCAAAGTGAGGGTTTAAAAGCCCACATTCACATGTAAGTGGATTTGTGGGGGCTCAGCTTCTAGAACTATGATAAAATAGGTCACAGAGAGGCAAATGTCAGTGATTATATGCAATGTGTTTGAAATAATGAAATCAAAATAACCAAAATCTGTGCTCCATCAAAGACTTATCTTATTCATTTTATATTCCTGATATTTAGCACAGAACTCAGTAAAAATTCATAGGGTCTAACAAAATAAGCACTCAATTTCCAGTTTTTGTAGAGAATTTTGGTTCCACAGTTAGCTCTTCAGTTTTATAGAGTTTATTCATTTTTTAAACTTGAACCCAAGAAATTAAAAACATAACTTTTTATAAAGTTATAAAGCTTATTATATTCACATATATAGTTCAACTAACCAATCCTTTCTAAAGAATGACAATCAAGTAGTTCATTTTCACTTAAGAGGTAGTCAAGGGTTCTCCGAGCTTCCTCAACTGTAAAATTTAGGTTAGTGGGTGCTCAAGGTTCATTTTAATCCCAGAATTGCACAGTAAAGTACACCCTTACAGGGTTAAGAGGATGCTTAACTGAGTGTTGAAAGATTACCAAATTGAGCTCTGTCAAATTTTGTAAAACAAATTCCAGATTTACAAGACTACAGCAGAAAGAAAGTACCTATAGCTCAGGGGTAAAGCACTTGTCTAGCATGTGAGAGGCCCTGGATCCCATCCCTAGTACAAGGGGGGAAAAAAATCAAATATGCATCTGCATACTGAGTGGCATTTCTCACATTTTTTCTTCCCACAGCAGGACAAAAGGTCCACTGGGAAGATAAAAATAATCTCAATTAGTCAAGTTTCACATTGTTTCATAAAACATTTATGCTTTAAATAGATTGCTGTATGTATACACATGGATGTATAACCAATGTGATCCTGCAATCTGCACACGTGGAAAAATGAGAATTCATACCCTGTTTGAATCAAATGTATGATATGTCAAGATCATTGTATTGTCTTGAGCAACTAATAAAAAATAAATAAATAAATAAAATAAAAAACAAACAAACAAAAAAGTTATTCTATCTACCCTTAAGTACATACTCATGGGAAATTAAAATATATGCCTACACAAAAAATTGTTACATGAATGTTCATAGCATAATATACAAAACATGAAAATAACCCCAACTGCCATCAATTGGTGAATGTCTAAATAAAATGTGGTGTAACCACATAATGGAATACCATTTGACCATATGAAGGAACAAAGTCCTGAAACATGACACAACATGGATGAATCATGAAAACACTAAGCTAAAAGTGAGAGAAGCCAATAATAGACGCATATTGCAGGATTCCACTAAAAGAAATATCTAGAACCATCACAAAGTAGATCAGTGGTTGCCGGGGACTGGAGTTTGAAGGGTTCTAAGATTGATTAGGTTGATGATTACACATCTTTTGTGAATATACTAAAAAAAGACTATACTGTATGTTTCACATCCATAAACTATATAATTGTAAATTATATCTCAATAAAACTACTAGAGAAAAAAATCAGAAAATCACTCCAGCAGGTGCACTCATATGGGAAGGGGAGTCCACAGTCATCTCAGTGGGTGCTGGGGACAAAAAAGCAAATGCTAGCATTTTAGTATCAGGCTCCAAAAAATGAGGTCTAACAGCAGCTGAATTAGAATTGAATTAGAATTGACTCTCCCAACTGAATTAGAATTGACTTGGTCATTTTTGGGGGGTTCCATTCCAAATGGTCTATTGAGTTCTAAAGGTACAACATATTGTGTTTTCCCATATAGAGAGGAAAAGAATTGAAATCATGGATGACAGAGTAATAGAAGATACACAGATTTTTATCAATGACAATGTTTAAAAGCTTGAGATTAATGAAATAGATTGGGGGGTATGCAAGCAATAAGAGGACTGTTTTCCTAGTGAAGGATACAGCTCCAGGTCCCTGATAAGACTGCAGCAATGTGGTGACTGAGAAGTGGTGCAGATATTTATATTTTGCATTTATGTAGTAGAAAGTTCCAGGCACCTAGTACAGTGATTCTGTGATTGTCAGTGGCTATCTCTACAGGGTTTCCCCAGGCTCGTGGAGAGAAAGGACCACTTTGCAAATTGCCAAGGGCATGTCAGTGCTAAGATTTCCAAGACATACATACATCCATACATACATAAAGAGGTATCCAGGATCCTGAACATGGAGGGAGAGGATTAAGCTTTCAGCAGGAACAGACACAAAGCAGTGTTGGGGGCAACTGAGACTATGTGTCATGGAGGGAAGAGACACAGCAAACGTGTAAGCTCCAAAAGAACCAGAAAGGCTAAATTCCTAGCTGGATGGAATAAACTTCTAGGAACTAAGGAGAAGTCTTTCTTCCCAAGACAGGAAGAAAGACTCCAGAGGCAGCTAAGGATTCCTCTCCTAAATTCCAGACGTGTGACTCCCTCCATGTGAAAGGCTGGATGAGGCCTCCAGTTGAGGCACATGCCACTCTGGCAATTTTAGAGAAGAGGTGTCAAGGATAGGCTGGTTTAGGGTTGAATCACATAGCAACAAGAATAGGTCGATACCATTGATTTATGGAGCGTGGATTATGGCAAGGATTGAAAATTCAGTCTCAAGAGCTTAGGAAACAAAAGGTGAGGGGCTCACATATAACGCACTCCAAGATCAATAAGGATTTCCAAGCAAAGGACACAGGACGCCCTGGGGGAGAGGAGGGATCTTCTGAGCCAGTGTCTCTGAGGCAGTGGCTCCCTGTATGTTCCTTGCTTTGGCTGGGACTGACTCAGAATATGCTCAGGTAAGTTCTAGAGCAGCTGGCTAGAAGCCACGAGGAGGAGTCAGAGGACAGGGTGTTCAGGGCCCTGGGTTGCTAGAGAGGCTATCTCTTTCACGTTGGTAAAAGAACTAGCTTTCCTTTTGACAATTTCTATTCCTTTCAACAGAGCCCTAAAGAATGGCTATCTGTATGTCTGCTTCCTGCTCATCTGCTCACTTTTGGATCCTGTAGTGCTTAAATAATCCAGAGGGAGACTTCTGTACCCTGAGGGGTCAGGCTACACAAACCCTTCCTAATCCTAACAGGGCTTCCAGCCCATGCATGTCATCCATACCTACACACACATATAAATCATGGTGACTGGTTCCTTCTGCCCTCGTTCCTGTCCCAATGTGCAGGACAAGCTCTGACCAAAAGCTGCATCCTCTGTGATAATTCAAGGCTCCCTCGATGTGTATTTTCAATGCCAGATGGATTCAACTTATCCATTCTGCATTTCCCTATCTATCCAATGTTAGCCAGTGAGGCCCAACCCATCTCAGTTATGCAGATCCTTACTGCCCAAGAAACATACGATTTTTTTTTTTATTAGGATACAATCCCATTACCTTTTGCCTTTCTAAAATAATAGCTAAAAAACATGATAGAAAAGCCTAGTTTTCAGTTGTTGGAATGACTTTATCCCCTTTAGACTTCTGCTAGTGTGCTTATCTTGCTTACCCAATTTGGTAACTTCTCAAACAACTAGAAAAACATGACATAACTGTCCCATAAGCAAAGGTTCAAGTACCTCCCAAGCATGTTGCTGTGCAAGGGGTGAAGCCAGCATACTCCCAGTCGTAAGTCATGTCACTGTCCTTCTCTTGGAGAGGGACGTCCAGCTCTCTCGATGCAGGACTCTCGTTACAAGCTTCAATGAGGCATGGCCGCTCTGTGGGCAGCTTGGGGCCTTCACACTCTTCCTCTGGAAGCTCAGTTTCTGTCTGTGTGAATGTGAGCAGCACTCGGCACTTGACCTCTCTCACCTGTATGCCCGGCCCACATGTGGTACTGCAGGCCGACCAGGGTTCCGGAATGAACCTAAGGAAAATCACAGGGCCAGGAAAGGAGGTCACACACAGGCTGTAACAGGAGTAGTGTCAGGCAATCAACAAGGGAAAACATAAGTATCTGCCTTCAGAGGGAATTCATTTGGGGTGCTGCACTTCTATTATGCAGTTAACTATCTATTATGCAGTTAACAAACTTTCAGATCTTATAAACAACAGAAAACAAAAAACTATGCCCTACTCTTGCATCTGTATAAAAAAATCAAATTCTGTGCTATGATAAGAACAAACTATTGTTACAAAAGTTTATGTTTTCAATATTTAGTAATAAATAAATCATCATGTAGACACAAATTCTAATAGGAGTTTAAATTCTAATAAAGTTTTCTTTGCAGCCCATCCCTCCTTCTACCTCCTTTAATTTATTTTAAAATATGGAGATTTTCACCAATATTTATTCAGTGAATATTTTGCAAACTTATTCATATATATATATATATATATATTTTTTTTTTAATTGTAGTTGGACACAATACCTTTTTATGTTGTGCTGAGGATCGAACCCAGGGCCTCGTATGTGCTAGGCGAGCGCTGTACGGCTGAGCCACAACTCCAGCCCCATGAGCTTATTCTTTACAACAGATGTTGTACAGAGATGTTGTAAAGAATGTTTCAATGTTTAGGGGCTAACCTATAGGCTATCATATATGCCTTTTGCAAAATGCACAAAGCTTTAATATTCTTTCATATTTAATGCACTAAGCTGCTGAATCTTCTTTAAAATATTAAAGGTATTTCACAATCTGGCTGAATGAAGCATTTATTTCTTATCCTAAATTATTACCCACTAAATCAAGGGTGACCAAATGATGGACTTTGGATATGTATATCTAATATGATTTTATCTGTATTACTTCTTCTTATTATTATATCCACACAATTCTTACTCTCTCCCTCCTACTCCTAGTAATATTTTTTTTAAAGGCAAGATAGGAACGTAGTCATATGAGAACACTGAAGAGCCACATCCAGGTGAAACACACCCAGAGGACAACAGTGTGTTCCCTGCATCTCTGCACAAGAGAAGGCCTTAAGAACATCAATTCACTCACGTGGGAGCTTAAGATATGAGAAGTGAAACAATGGAATAAAATGGAAAACCGCAGAGCTGAGGAAACCAACTGTGAAATGTAAAAAGACAATTAAAAATCTAAGAAGTAATTCAGCGGCTGGGGACATGGCTCAAGCAGTAGCACACTTGCCTGGCATGCGCAGGGCACTGGGTTCCATCCTCAGTACCACATAAAAATAAAATAAAGATGTAAAAAAGAAGTAATTCAGAACAAGGGAAAAAAAGCAGAAAAGATATGACTGAAGATCAAACTGATGACACAGGGAGGACTTAGAAGTTAATATGGTGTTCAGAAAGAAAGAAAAGAAGTAAAGATATTAGAAGGTAGAAGGAGGGATGGGCTACAAAGAAAACTTTGTTGGTGATGGAAAATGGAGATCATAACTATTTAGTAATGGTAACCAATTTAAATGGATTAAATTCTCCTATTAAAAAGAGTCTCTGGTTTATAAAACCATAGAAGATACAAATAAAATCAAATGACTTCAGAAACATAAAATGTATAAGGATAAGCAAAATGAGATTTTAAAATACAAATTAAAATAAAACAGAAGGTCAGAAAAGCAGATGCACATATTAGGAAAGAATAAACAGACATAAATATCACTATTTGAAGATGACCTTATAATTTTGAAAAAACAGTAAAATCAACTGAAATTTTTCGGAAAAAAATAAAAAAATTTAATAAAGTAGTCTATAACTATAAATGTATGTGTATCTGTAAAGAAATACAGATATATAGTACATATCCTAAAATTACCAGTTTTCCCAGAATTCAGCTAACAATGTTTGCTGCCAGGCCATATGCTAAGCATATTACATGTATTATTTAATATAATTTACACAACAACTTCAGGAATTGTCATTATTTTCTTATTTTTACAAATGAGAAAAACCTTTCAAAGTATAAGAAAAATTACTTAAGATCCATGAGTTTGTTATGTATTAGAAATATGCAGACCTGATACAACTAAAACTATAAAAACCTGAGGAGATTCTGAGCCCAAAGACAAAGTACACTTTATTTCCCTGAACAGGAAGACTCAAAATTACAAAGATGTTTGTTCTCCTTTGCTTAATTTAGAAATAATGCAGTTCCAGTTCTGACATCTAAGGCAATTTGGGCAGGGGTATGGGAGGGGACAGACACAGACAATACAACTCTAAAATTTTATAGAATGTTAAGTGAGAATAATCAAGAACATTTTTAAGAGAAATAATAATTAAGAGTAACTGCACAGCCTGATTAAAAAGATAAGATAATTCAAATAGTATGGCACCAGTAATGCCATACTTTACAGAATGATGACATTTTAAAATCAAAATGAGTAGTTTATTCAATAGATGGTGCTAAGTTATGAAGTTGTTTGGGAAGAAATTAAGTTAGACTGATTTTTGCATATGATATGTCAAAGTAAATTCCTCCTGGATCAGTGTAAAATATAAACCCATAAAGATTACTAGAAAAGAGTATTTTAAAAAAAGGTAACTTCCCAGCAGGGCTTGAGGGCACATGCCTGTAATTCTAGCAACTTGGGAAGCTGTGGCAGGATGATCACAAGTTCAAGGTCAGCCTTGAGCAACTTAGTGAGATCCTGTCTCAATACATAGATAGATCGATCGATAGATAGATAGATAAATAGATAGATAGGTAGATAGATGATAGATAGATAGGCTGGGGATGTAGCTCAGTGGTAAAGCATCTCTGGAATCAATCCCCAGTCCACCCCCCCAAAAAAGATAATTTTTCTAATGTTAATTAAGGTGTTTCAGGAAAAAAGGTGAGCTTTGGTACTGCTGCTGGCAGGAGAAATCAGTACCGATTTTCTGAAAGGAAATGTGACTGTAGAATTTAAATGCCTTCAATGTGTCTGCCTGTTTTCTGGCCCAGAAACTCCACTCCAGAAAATATTTCCTAATGAGACAATTAGAGATGTGTCATCTGGGATTTGTTACTGTTTTGTTTATCACAGAGAATAATCAGAAACAAACTGCAGGCAGCCAGAGAGATCTTTCTATAATGCAACCCAGTAGCAATTAGGTTCTTTTCCTTCAATGGCAGCCACTGCCTCCAGAAAAATCCAAGCTCCTTAACAAACCACAGAACATCTCCAGAACTTGCTCACTTCTCCACTTGCAACCCTGCTGCTGTCACTGCCTGACTCCACCCCCTGGCTTGTTTCCACACTCAGGCCACCTAAACAGTCTGCACACAAGCTACTCCAAATATCTGAATTGCTGTTCTTCTGACACCTCAGGACATTAGGATCTCAATTCCTGTATGATCTCTCCCAGGAAGCCATTCCTGATTCTTAAGGATACATGATGTCATCCTACCATAAGGTAATCGCAGTACACTATAATCTTACACTCCATAAAATACCATAGTATAGCACTCACTTCTCTGTCTACTCCATTAGACCCAACCTTGGATTGGTGAGACTTGAATTGGAGTCATCTGACATGAAACTGCAGCTCTTCCCAGTACCGAGTGAGTCTCCCTTATCCAAAATGCTTGAGACCAGAAGTGTTTCAGATATTAAATTTTTTTTATTCTGGAATATTTGCATATACTTAATGAGCTATCTAAAGGATAGAATCCAAGTATAAACACAAAATTCATCTGCTTCTTATAATCTTTATACATATATATCTTAAAGATAATCTTAGTATATATTTTTAGTGCATTTTGACTACAGCCCATCACATGAGGTAAGGTATGAAATTTTCTATTTGTGGTATCATATCTATGCTCAAAAAGCTTCAGAGTTGAGAGCACTGTGAGTTCTGTATTTTTGGATTAGGGATGCTCAACTTGCACCAATAGTGTAGAATCATTGTCCACTACGGGATAGCTCTGAAATGGTGGACAATTCCTTATTCTTTCTGTGCCTTGGCTTCCTCTGCCCAAATTGAAGACAATAATAATATTATAGGGTTGTTGTGAAAATTGAGAATTAAGCAAGATAATCCATGTTGAACCCTTAAACATGGTCTGCCATAAAAGAAGCCCTCAATATTTGTCATTGTTTAGCAAACAGATTCCTGGCATACAACCTAATTTGATTTTGGCAAATTCAGTTTCAATGGAGAAGCTAAAATAGTAGTGAAGAAACCATGCAAAGTGACTGTCTGGTTTCTTTAGTGTTCACATATGAAAAATGGGAGCTCGGACAGCAAAACTGCAGAGTGTTGAGAATCCCATAGAATTGGAGAAGGCTCCAGGGAGGAACTTAAAACAACTTCCAACCGATGAACCATATTGACCATGGACACATACCACAGCTGAAAGCTAAGGTCAAAACTACAGTTCCCTTGGCTTAAGTTTATACGCTAAGCTATAATTTTTATTTTCCTAATTAAAAAAAAAAGCCTTTTGAACATCCGCTCCCTATGTAAATTCAGAGCTTGGGCCATGGTAAACCATAGAAGCAGAAATATTTATCTTCTCCAGGCTGGTTTGGCAGGCTTTCCTCCAGGGATCTAAAATACAGCTGTGCTCATCTCCTCGTCCATTGTCAACAGTAAGCATCCCCAAGCCACAAAAGACAGTGGTAATAAAAGGATGAACTGGAAGCTGAGATACGCTGTGGTTTTGTTTGGAAACTGAGAGAATGAACAGAGTCAGAAGTGGCAGGAAACTATAAACTTTACACCAGACGGCCAGGAACAGGCCAGAAACTGGCAGGCGGTGTGAACTGCACAGGAAGATTGCATGGAGCCCTCAGAGGGGAAGATGTGGGAAGATAGGGAAGAGGCAGCTGTGCACGTTGGGGGATCAGGTGCTGCTGGCCCAGTCTCCCAGGGTGGGAGAGAAGGGTGGTGGCATCCTTCAGGGGTAAAGAGTGTATTAGCTCTGCTCTGTGGACAGGGGAGGAAGAATCCCCAGTAAAGTCAGTGGGGCTGATGGAAACTATAGGTTTGGGATGACTATGAGCTGAACCACAGTAGCTTATGTTGCACTGCCCTTTTCTAATTCAATAATATGAACAGTATTTTCTGATTTTGGAAGGGACTTTGGGAGCATCTGATCCAGTGGTTCTCCAAATTGGATACATACCCCACCCACCTCTCAAAGTCACCCAGGGTACTTGTTTAAAAATGCTGGTGACTGGAATTTGTAAAGACAGAAAGAAGAATAGAAGGTACCAGGGTCTGGGGGTGGAGCAGGAGGCAAGTAAATGGGGAGTTATTATTTATTGGGTTCAGGATTTATGTTGGGGATGATGAAAAAGTTCTGGAGATGGATTGAACAACAGTGTAAATGTATGTAATGCCACTGAACTGTCTACTTTAAAATGGTTAAATGGTAAATTTTATGCTGAGAAGGTCTTACTATAATAAAAAAACAGATCCAATAGAAAAAAAAAGTTGGTAATAGGTCTCTACTCTCAGTGTCTGAAACAGAAATCAGAGTTTAAAAAGTAACACAGGTGATTCTGATAGAGGTGATTTGAGGACAACCATTTAAAAAATGATATTTTTATTATAAAAAATACTCCTTCCTTTTTATAGATGCATGTTGAAGTGTTTATGAGTGACATGTCATGTTGTCATGTCTGTCAGGGTGGGAACAGTATTGGTGGCATAGATGAAAAAGAGTGGCTTTGAGGTGACAGTTGTTGACAGTGAGTGATGAGCACATGGGGGTCCATTATAATATTCTTTTATACAGGTTTAAATTTTTCTATAATATAGAAGTTTTTAAGAACACAATATGAAGGGCACATTTTCAACAGATAAGAAAGAACAGTGAAAGGGGTGGAGGTGAGGGACATTCTGCTATAGGCAAGAACAGCCAACAGGTCTGTGCGGCTGAGTGTCCCATTCAAGCCAAAGCAAGAAACTGGCCAGGGAAGGGACTGGGCCCAGGAAGGGCAATTCCCTTTAAAGTGCTGGCCTATTGAACAAAGATAAATCTTTAGGTGATGAGGATGCATTTGGATATTCTGAATATTGCAAAGGAAGAATCAGATCTGTGCCTTAGTTAGACTAGTCTGGTGGCTATATGGAGGGTAGAAGAGGAACAAGTGAGGAACAAATGAGAAAGCTGTGGTAGGTATCTTGGTAAGCAAATTCAGGTCCTGGATGGGGATGGCAATAGAAACGGAGAAGGATCTGAAACCGGGAAAGATTTTGGTAAATATCATCAGGACCCAGTAGGACCCAGAACTGTTCTGGACTAAAAAGTTTATGACTTTCCTTGCAGGACCACAGACGTGTGTGTGGTGGGTGGGTGGGTAGGTGGCTTCTAGCAGTTTAGCCCAACGCCTTCCTCATACAGTTGGAAACCTACAGATGTTGATTTACTTGCATAAAATCCTTATTATCTTTTTAATAGGTCAAGACTGACCTAACTTTAAATGAAAAATGACAACCAAAAATCACATATATACACACACTCTTTTCTATCAGCCTATCAATCTTCACTCTTTCCTTTAGGAGTCAATTACTCATTGTCTCATTTCCTTCATATTTGGAAATTCACTTCTTAAAATATCCACAATGCTTCCCTCTCTGACCTTTGAATGATACTACTGTAAAATCACCTGGAAATGAATTTCCTATCAATCAATTTACTTTCTCTCCTTCCTCCATTTTTTTCCTTGACCTTTTGTGAGATTTGAATCCTATCTGCTACCCCTCCTGAACCTTGGACTCCTTCAGTCTCTGTAATGATGAGGTTTCATGGTTTGAACACATTACTTTACGCCACTGCCCATCTTTTCTGGTTCCCCTTGATCCTCTAGACCTCTGGGCTCTAACATGAACCCAACACTCCTCCCTTCCTTCAATCACTCTGGGGTCATTCACCCTCACAGCATCCAGTGTCTTCTGTGGTCATTTCTGGGCCTGACATAGGTCCATGTGGAAAAGTCTGTCTGTGTCATCACTGAGATGTGCCAATGCTCTTGGCCTGATCACTAAAGGCATGGCGCCTTCTCACAGAGAAGCAAGCCACTGTCTCCTGGGATTCACAGCTGGGCTGGACCACAGTTAGAAAGGACATTGATAAATGAGAGAATGTTCTGAAAAGAGCCATAAGGTTGGTAAGGGATCTAAAAACAACACATGGAAACTGCTGAAAAGGCTAAGAATGATGAGCTTGGAAAAGACAAAGCTCTTGGGATCCACGACAGCTTTCTTCAAATTTATGAAAAACTTGTCACATGGAATAGGAAGTAGATGTGTGGTGTTTTTATTTTTTTCTGTTTCAGAAAACAGAAATTAGAAGGAGGTATATTTTGGCTCAGCAGGAGAAAAAAAAAAAGTACCGCAAATAATTTGGGTTGTTCAATGTAAGAATGAGTGGGAAAATCTGCCCATTGCTGAAGGTGCTAAAAAAGAAATGTATGAGCTATTATGAGGAAATAGTCCCAGAGCTGCCGTAGTGTGGGGAAATGGACCCATAGTACCATGCAGATTAGAGTTTAGAACCACCACTGCTCACTAACCACCACTGCTCACTGACCTTAGAGAAGTCTTTAAAGTTTCTGTGTCTCACTGTCCTTATTTACAAAAGGGGCAGGTTGGGCTTGATCTCTCAGGGAAATGGGCCAGACTGCTGCTGAGATCCCCTCTCCTGTCTCATTCTGCATGTTCTACATGTTCTCTGTGGATAGCTTCTCATTGCCACAGACTCAACATGTCTGACATGGAACCAGGTATCCACTACTTGAGTCTATCATTGGTGCAGCTATTCTAATAGACTTCTGTGCTAAAAATTTCAGAGCACCTTGGCTCCTTCCTTGCTTTTGGTCCCTATATTTCGGCTTCCACAGAGCTTCTTTGATTTGCTCTTGATTCTGCATTTCGACTGACACCTGCAATCCAGACTTGTACCATGTGGATAGCAGTCACTGAAATTTTGAATTGGAATGGATCCCGGAGAGATTGAGTTCAACCTACCCCTTTTATAAATAAGGAGAATGTGACACAAGAAACTATAAAGACTTGTCTAAGGTCACATAGTTAATAGCAATTGATATAAGTCCTGATACCCATAATGCTATGTGCTTCCCATTGCTCCATACCACATCAGCCCTGGATTGCTCCTTATAAGCATTCAGGTCACCTGGATTCACTTCATCATAACTGGTTTTGTAGAGTTTGGCCAAGATTTAACTATGGAATGACTGGTTTGTTTGCATAATATTGTCATGGTCCTTAGTTAAATCATGTGTTAATCTAGAAATTATCCCTAATCTCTTAATTGCAACAGAACACTGGGTCTGCTTTGAGTTAAATAACTCTGTTCTTTTCTGTGCTTCTCACAGATACTGCCAAAGTGAGATGCTGAGTTGTGAAATACAGAAACATTCTAGCCAACTCAAGCTCTCTAGAGTCTGCAAACCCAGGTCATTTGGATACTGAATGTATCATTGCACTCGGATGAGTACAAAAATTACATATATCATGTTAACTGGCTATGCCCTGATTACTCCCACAAAGGGTCCTGGACTCACATTGGTTCTTCTGTTGCTATTCTGGTCTCTTCTAGTTCTTGTGCTTGTTTCAGCCAAGGTAATTTAGCTTCCACCGGACTTTTTTCTAAGAAAAAAATGAGCACAAATAATAAGCTTAATTATTATTCATCATAAGTTTTTGGCTATATGAATCACTATTGGCTGAAAATGTCATTAATAAAGAGGTCATGTTTTTCAAATGCAAGTCGAGTCCTTCAGCACAGTACATTAGGTGAATTCTGGAATAAATAAAAATTTCTGCCATGTTTTTAAATTAACACATTACAAAATGCAACCCAAATGATCCCCATGATACATTTGAAAGTGTTCTCAAAGTTAAACATAAAAATGCCTTTCATAAATCAATACCATTTTCTGTTCTTTGCATATTAAAGCTCTTAACTTCAACAATATCAGCTTGCTTTCTTTTGCCACAAATTCTTTTGTCCACTGAACAAAGAAATTAATAGAGAAAAACAAATAGCATGGAGGTTAAAAAATGGGAGTATGAGAGAGTGTGTGCTATGGTTTACTCAGACTTTAATTGTTGCTAAGGGAGATGATTAGTAATTACATCTGGCACAAAGGAGCAAACTGGTGCCTCCTTCTGTCCTTTGAAGCCTCCTTAGATGTGAGGAAAGAAACAAATCTAGTTGTGAAATAAGAGAGAAAATAATTTTGGGCTGCTGCTCTAGGGAAATTACAGATAATAAGAAAGTGTCTATGAAAGTACCATGGAATACAAAAGAAAGGAGAAAGGGCTTTACTGACAGTTATATAACGTGTACACCTGTCATGGCAAATGATGAGACAGACTCAGTCAAGTATGTGTTGATTGAATGGTAATTGTGAGATTATTTGAATAGATAATGAACCCAAAAATAAAGAGGGAGAATTTTAACATCCTTCTAAAATACTAAAGAGGAATCCTCTTTATAAACAGGTGGGAACAACTTTTATCCCTTTCAAGAAGGAAGCTATTTGTCATAAGGATTGATAGTGCCTTCCTAACATACATGAAAGTAATCGTATACAGAAAGGAGAACATGTTTGATCGATGAAGCCAAGACTTGTTAACCTTCTCTGATAGGAACTATTGGAGAAATTCTAAATGCACTCATAGTCCTCGATTGGGATCCAAAAATCTTCATTTCAAACACTATGACACATAATGACCATGCCAGTGTTCCTCCTGCAAGAAACTTAATGCTTCAGTGGAGGAGTGTATACAAAGTACTGTGAGAACAAAGGAGAAAAAATCTTGAGGAGCAAAACAGCTGCCTCCACCGCCTCCTCCTCTGCCACTTCTTCCTTTTTCTGCTCTTCTTCCTCTTTTTCCTTCCTCCCTTTCTTTGCTCCTCCTCATTTTCTTGAAGGCAGGAACTGTATCATATTATTTGATGTGCATCAAAGAAGTATATAGCACAAGTGTGCACACATAGGAACCACTCTCTATGTACCAAATCCACAGGGGCTCAGTTTTGCCTCCTCAATAAATCACATGTGCTCAATTTCTTAATCAAGGTGGACAACTCCACTGCACACTGTCATTAAAACGCTTTCTATTAGAAAATAAGCGGAAATAGAAAAGCTGTGATATTGGAATGAGATCTGGAAAACATCATTTGATTTAAATTAAAAACAACAAAAATTTACCTTTTGGTTTATGACACGGGATGGGAATAACACATTCCTCTTTGATGTGCAATTTCAGTTGTGGATTGCAGCCCCCAACGTGCTGTCCACGATGGTTGATACAGAGAACCACCCGGTAACGTAACCCTCGGCCACAAGTCACTGTGCACTTCAAAAGAGGTAATGAGGAGACGGTGAGTTTCTTTTTCATGAAAAGGTCTACAAAGGCATTATTTTATCATATGCAAAAGAAAACCATTGATCTACATAAATATTAAACATAAAAGATGTCCAAATAAGTAATATATAATGAAGGGGGCAGAGGCTGTTTTTCTGAGATTCCTGTGTTTCCAGGCTCCTCCTATACAAGCCTGCTTCCAATTCTCAATTCACAAACTATTTAAGATGAGATCATAGCACAAGAAAAATAAATGTTCTGAAATCTTATTTTGCTTTGTATCAAATATCAAAGAAACTCAATTCAGGTTTTCTTAGGTTTGATTAAATTTAATATGATATTATCCAAAACAAGTTGAGTGAATCTGGAAGAAACACTTCTAAACTATAAATACAAAAATTACATTTCAATCAACCATGCTAGAGTGTTAAACTTTCCATTCTGCGTACAGAAATTGATGTTGCAAAGCCATGGTCACATGAAGAGACCATCAAAGAGTATTCAGTTAAACAATATAGGCAAAAATACTACAGATGTGTCAATTAGATAAAACATGTTAATGTTTTTCTGAGTTTTTTGTGAAATTTGTAATTATTAGCCTTTTTCTTTGAATTGTTTATGATTTAAAAGTTACTATTCCCTATAAATGGAATGTTTTTGTGTCCTTTGGAAAATCTAGGACTTTTTTTCTTCCTCATACTGGGGATTAAACCCAGGGTTGCTCTAACACTGAGCTATATAATCATTATTATTATTATTATTATTATTTTGACATAGGTGCTGGCTAAGTTGCCCAGGCTGACATAAAACTTGCATTCCTCCTGCCTCAGCCTCCTGAATTGCTGGGATTATAGGCGTGTGCCACTGTGCCCAGCTTCTACAATATTATTTTTTAATTTATCTATATATATATTGGTGTTATGGTTTAGCTCCATAATGTCCCCCAAAGTCTCATATGTTGAAAATGTGGTCCCCAGTGTGGCAATATTTATAGGTGAGACTTCTAGAAGTAACAGGAACATGAGGGTTCTGACCTCATCAGTGGATTAGTCCATTGAGGGATTTGCAGCTGACTCTTAGGAGATACAACCTAGTTGAAGGAAGTGGATTCTTGAGGGCATGCCCTTGGGGACTATCTCTTGCTCCAAGCCCCTTCTTCTCTTTCTGCTTCCCAGGCACCATGATGTGAGTAGCTCTCCTCCCCACACCCTTCCACCATGATGTTCCGTTGCCCAAACAATGGAGCCAACTAACTATGGGCTGAAACTTCTGAAATAAATAAATCTTTCCTCCTTCTAGTTATTCATGTCAGGTTTGATTATAGCAATGGATAACTAACATAGTTGGTGAGTACAAATATGTACGTGTTTAACAGACTTTCATGTTTTGAGATCATGTTAGGTTCACAGAAATATGAGCAGATAGTATAGCATTGTTCTATGCCCCCATATCCCTTTTTTTCCCTTTATCATTAACTGACTTCTGTAGTATAGTTGCTACAACTATGGAATCAATATAGTAGTGCCCCTTTGTATGGGTTTCACTTTCTACACTGTCCCCTCTTCAGCAGCTTCTCTGAGAAGCTGGACTCCTACCAAGGAGGCCACTAGAGTCCATGGTATTTCCAGAGCTTCTCTTTGTAGCTGAATATATCCCAATGCGAGCAAATCCTTATCACTGAGAATATAATTCTGAAAAAAAAACTGAAAGGCATTAGGAATCAAGGATAGTGAATGAGATGAGCTGGTTAACAAACTGTTTTTACATTAAAAATGATGAAAAAGTGGTGATATTTATGGGAAGGCATACAAGCTCTTAAGTCAACAGAATGCATGTTTTCTAGCTACCTATGCAGGTAGGAGAAGCACAATTGACTGAAAAAGTGCAAATCTCTAGGGACAGAGTAACAAGTCCTTTTGCAACTGTGGCAGTATTCTTTGCATTCAACAATATGGAAAGAGAATTCAAGCAAATTGTGAGCTGACAAATCATTAAGAATGATTTTTTGATGATAGACTACCACATGGATTTGGGCATATAACTCAGGAATTAAAAGAACTAAATGAATTTGCTGAAATAAATTCCTTTAAGTCCAGTCTATTTAGGTGATCAAGTCTTCCAAGGGTGTGTGTGTAACACAAAAGGGAAAAAAAAGCCAACAATAAACATTAACAAGAAAATTACTGTTCAACCCATGTGTCATTCTGGTAATGGATACATGTACCATTTTTAAAGACTCACTCATCTTGAAGAAAGACTGATTTCAAATGAAATTTTACTTTTTATGTGTAATCACATTTTACCAAATTTGAAATAAACTCATGTTGGTTTGATTGGATATTATATTTAATAATAACCGAATCTAGGGGAACATTCTTAACATTAAGAGCCTTGTGGACGCAGGAAACTAAAATAAATGAAATTACTCTATTTACTTTCTTGGAGAGAGTACCATAGAGTTATCAATAAGAAACTTTAAGGCAAAAAAATGCATTAGATTAGGTTAAAATTCTATAATGTGATTTAAAGGGGAGAAATATGTGAATATTTGAATTGTTAAAAAGTTTGTTCATGTTATTTAAATGAAAGATGGCACAGAGAGAAATCATCATGACATTTAGGTTCCACTGGACACATTTTTAAACATGTTATAACACTCTTACTTTAAAATGTCAGCATTCACAGCATGTTGTAAATGATATTCTTTGCAATTACTCAGACTTATAATAAAAAAATTTAGATGTCAACCTAAATATACAAAAATGGATATGCAATTTTCTAAACTTCTTTTGGAGGTTATGTGAATAAAAATGAGTCAGTAACCTCTACCCTAATAAGTATGGGTGAAGTTCTACAGGGGGACATTTAGTTGGAATATCAGAAGAAGATTGAAGTGGTCCTTCACCCAGCCAACTCATGTGTCCACAAGTCCCAGTATAAGTGCTACCTCCTTTCTGAGCCTTTTCTGACACCTTCTGGAGGAGCAAATCTCTTTACCTTGTACCCCTGAAGTACTGCATGCAGAAGGCCAACTCCTGACTGCTGTTACACTGTATCACAACTATTTGCCTGCTTGCCTATCTGTGCAACTGAGCTTTAAACTTTTGGGAAGTAGGAGCAAGTTTCACTTATCTCCAGCATGGTAGTTGACATTCTAAATAGATGAGCAAATATACTAATGCATGTATATTACAGAGATCCCACAAAAGAACTAGAGAAACTTGAGTCAATTATGTCTGATTCTCTAGGAAATTGGAACATTAAGACTAAAATACTGAACACCACTCCTGCATTTTTCATCTTTGACTAATCCTCTTGCACTTTATTTGTTCTGAAGGCCTACTCTTTCAACTCACTAGAAAGTAGAAATGCACTAATCTTGCTGGGTACAGGGGCACATGCCTGTAATCCCAGTGGCTGGAGAGGCTGAGACAGGGAGCATCGCAAGTTCAAAGCCAGCGTCAGCAACTTAGTGAGGCCCTTAGCAACTTTGAGAGACCCTGTCTCAAAATTTTGATTCAGTGGTTTAGTGACCCCGGGTTCAATCCCTGGTTCAAAAAAAATTTATTAACTATGCTAATCTGACTTGAGATACCAGTGTCAGGCTATTTCACCTCAATTACTTAAAATACATTATTTTCTTCAAAACATATCATAAAGCTTAATATGATTGGATCAAGGACACATTTTTAAATGTCATGTCAGCATTTTCACCTTCAATGTTCCAATTCATAGTAACATGGGTTCTCCAATCTTGATGAATTATGGGCTTGTCAACTTCTAGTCACTTCACGTGATTCCTCCCTTTCTTCAGCCATCTCTGCCTGGCCACCTGCCATAGTCCTCTTTGGGCTCTTGCTTGTTCAGATTTTACATATTTTCAAGGCTAAGCACTAAGGGCAGCAAAAACCTTGTGACTAACTCTATTTCGACCCCTGTTCCTTCCAGCTCTACCACAGTCCCTAATAATAAAAATTCTTACCCACAGTGATGATTTAGTCTCTCTTATATTGTCCTCTGTCTTCCAGAGTTCTTTAGGAACAGGGACCATATTCACATACAGCTTCTGTTACCCATGTGGGCCAATACATTGTTGGGCACACAGCAAAAATTCCTTAAAACCTAAGTTGTTTTTCTTCTTGTTTTTTAACCAGGGATTGAACCCAGGGGCACTTAACCACTGAGCAACATCCTCAGTTGATTTTTTACTTTGAGACAGGGTCTCACTTAGTTGCCCAGAGCCTCACTAAGTTCCTGAGTCGGGCTTTGAACTTACGATTCTCCTGACTCAGTCTCCTGAGCTGCTGGGATTACAGGTGTGCAACACTGCACCTGTTAAAACCTGAGATTTAATTAAATAAAAGTAGCATGCTCTCAAATCTCACCTGAGACCACTCCATAGCGATCCACTTAGGGCAATCAAATAGGTTGCAGGTCTGCATAACCTTGGGCTTGGGTGCATACATGCACTTCCATTCTTCCACTTGCAGTATCTCTGCATGCATGGACTCCTCCACACACACAAAGCTCCGTCTCTGGATCCCTCCTCCACAGGACACAGAACATGCAGTCCAAGGATTATGTTCCCAGCTCAAAAGCAAACAAATAAAAATACATTATTTTTTGTTGTTTGTTCATTTCAAGTTTGCAAAAGTGGGTGCAAAAAGTATGGCCTCAAGGTGTCAGTTTGATCAGCTAAAAAAACCATGAGACCTGGAGTCAAGATGTTAATCATAACTACCACACAGTCTGTAGACACAAGAAACTTATCTCCTCTGTACTTATAGGTTTCTGCCAAATGAGAATAATACACTTGCCCTATTTACTTTCAGGGGGCCATTGTGAGAATTTGATTAAATTTTAAATGATCCTTTTAAATTCTCAACTATAAACCAACGGACCATATTATTAGAGATTCACAGAAACTCAAAGTCAGAAAGAATCACGCTAGTCATCTAAGTGTCGAAGGGGATTCAAATTTCTGACCAATTGCAATGCTTGAGCTCCTTCTCTGATACCAGTCATCCAAGACATGCTTGATTCCGCCAGTAATGAGAAACATCACCTTTTCAGGCAGCCTATTCCATCTAATTCTTACAAAGATCCTTCTTATTACTGAGGTGAAATCTGTTTTCCCTTAGCTCTGAAAAGATCTAATTTCTGTCCCTGGTACACTGCAGGCTACTGCTACAGAGGCTACAAATACTTGAAAATTACTTAGAGTAAATTACAAAAAGGAAAAGGAAGCATAGAACTCACCGAGGGAGAGGTTGAAAGTGGTCATAGGGCATAATCTCTTTAAAGCCATCACTACAAATAAACCATTGAGAGAATATCATTTCTCAAATCAACACATTTATTAAGTAATACAGAATTTGATATTGCAAGAGACAGGACTCTTTCAAATTGAAAACTAGAAATGCCAAATGTTATGAAACCATTCACAAAACTTTGACCACCATATCTCTTTCTCTCTCTCTCTCTCTCTCTCTCTCTCTCTCTCTCTCTCTCTCTCTGAGAATTGGACCCATGGACATTCTACCACTGAGCTACACATCCCTGGTTTATTCATTCATTTATTTATTTTGAGGCAGGTTTCTCTGCTTTGCCCAAACTGGCCTTGAATTTATAATCCTTTTGTCTCAGCTTCCCAATTCACTGGGATTTTAGTCATGTGCCACAGTGCCTAGAAGTCACCATATCTTTAATTTTCAGGAATGACTCTAACACAAACTATCCCCAGTTGTATATGAAAACATAAAAAAATTGAACTAGTGATATATTAATCAAAGGGTGAAATTATCTTGGATAAATCTAGTCCTTCTCATGGTCATTATAATAAGATATATTAATGATAAAACATGAAGTAATGTTAGTAGAATCTTCAAAACAGTTTTATTTAACAGAGCTTGTCCTTTGAAAGATCTCTATCAAGAAGTATGTTCAATCAGGATTACAGGGAATGGGCAGGCAGCGATAGGAAATGAAATCCACTGAGAAGGCTTCCTTTTCCACTTGTACACTTTTGCCTTAGCCAGCTGGCATATATCTGGGGGATTCTGGGACTTGATACTGCACTGTTATTTTAAGATACTGTAGTGCAGCCAGGAAACTTCCCCAGGCAATCCAAGTCAGCAGGTACTAAATTATGCAACAGGACAGTTAATGCACAGCTTTTCTGCTTTGGCATTAAAACTTTTTGCTCCTTTGCACAATGCATTATTTATACTGAATCTCGTGTGAGCCCTTCAAAAGTCAAAATGTGGTAATGGGTGACCCAGTTTCATGGCTAACTTGCGAGTGAAAGATATTTTATGACTGACCTATGGACTAGGCATTGCACTTGAATAAAGATATCTTTAATATTGGATACGCAGGAGATGCTCAAGAAGGTTCATTATAAAGAGCTTAATGGACACATAATCCCACAGTGAGAGAGCCTGCCTGAATGACTAGGTTGACAAATGTGTCCTAATTCCCACTGACCATGTTTACAAACATAAATGCAGCCATTGTATGTTCAAAGTCAGGAAATGGAAAAATTTTGTCCTTCAAGAACTAATCAGTCCTAGTGACAGTTGATTCATTTATTTTAAAAGCAAAAAGGGTGTGGGCAGTTTTACAAACCTTGACGGACAAGGATCCATGCTGCATTCCTTCAATTTTGGTTTGGGTTTTACATTTTCAGGGTAGTAATGGCAATAGTGGTCAGGAACCACTCTCTTCAAGCGGATATCCACACACTCAGCAGAGTTGAGCTGATAACCTAAAGATGTAGAAGAGGAAAGGCTAGAAACTATGTCTGTGTCATGATGGCTGGCAAAGTTACCACTTGCCACACACTTCTTCCTCTTTAAGACTGGGTGGTTTTCAACTCTGGCTACATAAAGAACCACATGGGGACTTTGGCTGTACACCAGAGCTCAGGTCCCTTCGTGATCCAATTCAGTCAGAAGCACTGAAGTTGGGCAACAGGGAGTCAGTACTCTTTAAAAAAAATTATCAGGTTTCTCTAAGATGACTAAAATGTGTGTCCAAAACTGAGAACAACTACTAGAGTGGTTCTCTAAGTAAGAAGTAAAGATGGTCTCCTTTTAAGAAGTGTTTAGCCCTCAGGTGCAGTTTCTTCCTTCCTCCTCCTCCTCTACCTCCTCCTCAAGGCCCTGGGCACAGGCCCTCTCTTTTGTTTCCTTGTATTTTCCTTTCTTCCTCTATTGCACTTCCATTCTGATATCCCCCCTCCCCTGATATGCTGATATCTTCTCCCCCTCCCCTGATATCCTGGTTTAGTTTTTACGTGTCTTTAAATATATACAACTGTCTTCAATAATGTTGTTTTGTGAGAATCTGTTTTTAACTTAATTGATAATGTGTTTTAAATCTTGTTCCATTTTCTACTTTTATTTTCACTCAACATGTTTTTGAGAACTACCTTTCTTCTAGTTTGTTGCTGTGTTGAATATTTCTTTAATTGATATTCCACTGTTTGCATCTACCATATTTCACTCATCTTCTGCCCTGAGATAGTCAGGGCACCTCCACTGTCAATAACCTTCCAACTGGAGAAGAGAGCACTGGTTAACACAGGAAGGAATGAACTTTATCTCTCTATACCCTCCCCCAACCCTGCCTCACAAGTTTTCAAAGGGGAAGGAATGAACACTAATTCCTAATTCTATTAAATCCAATTTTTCTTTGAGGAAAGTTAACATTCCACGTACAGGAGTGCTGAAAATTTAAAAAACAACTCACAGAAAGACCCTTTCCTTTCAGGAAAGAGCCAACTCCAGGTCTCCTGTCACTACATAAATACAAAGGAAAGTGAAATATTTTTTATTTTTTAAGTGATTTTTTTCAAACTAGAATGAGCCCTTAAAAAAAAAAATTAAAAAACAGGGGCTGGGGTTGTGGCTCAAGTGGTAGCCCGCTCGCCTGGCATGCGCCGGGCGCTGGGTTCAATCCTCAGCACCACATAAAAATAAAATAAAGATGTTGTGTCCACCAAAAACTAAAAAATGAATATTAAAAAATTCTCTCTCTCTCTCTCTCTCTCTCTCTCTCTCAGAAATAAAAAATAAATAAAGAAACCCCTATAGCTAAGCTAATGTTAAGCTCTCAGTTTCTATGCATTAGTCTGATGTTCTAAAAATACATTTAAAGTCCTGATTGTCAAGAGGAATCTGATTTTATAAACCACTAGACAGCTTTCTACAAGACATGGCTTGGACATAAGCTGAGTAAAGAGGACAGACTGGTATGCATTATGAAAAAACAAGGTCGAAACCACAAGAATGAAAATCCAAATGGAGTCAATAAAATGTTCCCCGGGTGCCAGTATTTGCCATAAAATCCACAATATCAGATGGCATTGGCAATCCTGGTACTTGCAAGAGAATGATCTCAGGTGTCCTCTTTAGATAATCACAAACAAGACCAAGGAAGTTCATCCAAGTACCTGTGGTACTGCAGAGACCAATGAACTAATTTTCTTGATGATCCCAAAATCTCCGAAATGCCATTCACACAAATCATGTAGATTCAATTACTAATATAATTAAATTTGGTAATGCTTTCCTTGTGGGTTTTATGTGCAAGTTTTTACTTCCCCCAAAACAAGTACAGAATGAGATTACAGCTCCTTGAGTCAGAGAAAATCTTTCTCCTAAATGGAAACATACTTCTAAAGAGAGACGGGGGACAGACAGGTGTTTCCAATTTGGGGAAGAGAATTAGTTTTCCTCTTTAATTTTATTGCCATTTAAAGATAACTAAAAGCAAGGAAATAAGGTAGATTGTCTTGGTACTGTAAATAAATGCAATAAAATTCTTCCAGGGCAGAAAATAGCAGGCATTGCCCAACATGGCAGCCTAAATCTCTGTTCTTTCGCCTGCCAGTATATTTGAAGAGGACCTAGCTGGTGGGTGCTCCCTTGCCCATCTACAGTTCCAGCAGGACTCCCTTTCCGTGGACACCAAAGTGTGAGAAACACCTGTTCTCCTGCCAAGACTTTAATCAACTTAACTAAGCTGGATCCTATTATAAAATATCTTATGGGTCTAAATGGGAATGTCTCTCTGAATAATGTGTGTAAGGGATAAAAAATAAGAAATGGATGTTGTTTATCTGCAGAGTAAGAGTAGAGAAAGCTCCCACCATCTCTGCTCTCATTTTGGGGTTTCTTTCTTCCCAGAAACTGTGCTGTGCCTGTGTCTAAGGCAATGGAATTCAGCTTCTGAGAGTAATGTACTACTTGGTGTCTATAGTCTGTCCCACTCACTGTAGGCTAGGCTCTCCACCATGACTGTTGAGTTGTGTGCATACACATCACTCAACAACAGCATGATCTGAGAATGCTGGGGTGGGGACATCCAAGGATCAGCACATTTTACACACTTTAGACAACATTTTAGGTTGATATTCTGACATAACAAATATTTTCTTAACACTTACTAAGTGCCAGGCCCTGACCTATGTTCCTTGGCATGCATCATCTCATTTTGTCTTGCAAAGTGCTATAAGGGACACAGTCTTATTTACAGGTGAGAAATTGAGGCTCAAAGATGTCTCAGAGCTAATCAGTGGTGAGGCCTAAAAACTAACCCACATCCTTAACTTTACAGACCATGTTGCCTCTTCATATGAACTCTTGGGTGCAAATTTTTTTTTAAATATTTATTTTTTAGTTTTAGGTGGAACAATATCTTTATTTTATTTTTATGTGGTGCTGAGGATCAAACCCAGTGCCTCACATGTGCTAGGCGAGCACTCCACCACTTGAGCCACAACCCCAGCCCATGTGCAAATTTAAAAATATATATATATTTTTAGTTGTAAGTGGACAAAATACCTTTATTTTATTTAATTTTATATGGTGCTGAGGATCAAACCCAGTGCCTCATACATGTGAGGCACGCATTCTACCACTAAGCTACAACCCCAACCCCTCACACGAAAATTTTGAAGAACTGGATTGGCCCCCAAATTTCTGGCCCCTGTGTAGAGAGACTCATTGGGTTTTCCCAGTTTAAAGTATCAATTCCAAACAGTGTTCTCCCTCAATCAACTTTGAGAGAGATCAAATGTTTCTAAGAATTTCCCCTAGAGCTTACGGGAGAGTCACTGACTCAAAAGATCTAAAGGAACTTTGCTTCATAAAAATGCTTAGCATGTTCAACAAAATTCAAAAGAAATTGAAAATAAACTGAGAGACTGTTTGGGCTGGAAGGAATTTGAAGATTATCTACTCCACTGCTATGTTTTCATTGTGTTGATTTTTGTGATTGAGGTCTATGGTAAGAGATAATCATTGTCTACTTCAGGTAGTAAAATCAAATTATTTTTGTAAATATGTTTACATTAAAAAATTTATTTGAAGAAAATTCCTTGAATGAATAGTAATTCGGGGGAAAACAGGTATGTCAAACATAGTCATGTTAATTTGGCTACAGCTGCTTTTCAGAGACACTGCTTTATAGAGGTGGTTCTCAAAATGCAGAGTAACCATAATCCCCGGTGGGGGTGGGGCTGGTAATAGTAGGCTGGACCCATCCTCAGCATTTCTGACTGGGTGTGACCCAAGAGTTTGTATGTCTAATAAGTTCCTGGGAGATGCTGATGCTGCTAGTCCAGGGACCTGACCCAAGAATGACTCCTGTAGAATCATGATCAAGTGGTCAATTACCCCTTGTCTGACCCAAGGAAGAGCTATCTGGAAACTGAGGAGACTCACTTTCTACTTGCGTTCTAGGCCCCCCATTTAGTCCACAGAAGGCACCTCATTTAATACATAGGGACCCAAGCTCCTGCTGAAGTCTGCACTGCCCAGTGCTCCCAAAAAAGTGGCTACCTCCTCATTTCAGGGGAACCTAACTCCCAGATGAGAGAGCTGACTTGCATACTCATGGGAACCTGACATTGATGGAGGAGCCTCCTCAATATACCTGTAGTTCAAAGGAGAGAGGCCAGACTTGAGTTCTGACTTGTGAGTGACTTTTTGAGCGAGTTGAAAACTTGGAGGGAAAAAGTGATTTGGAGCTGAGCTTAGACAAAGAAGCAGGATTTATTCTAGCTCTTCTAATAGGATCATGCCTGAACTGTGTACCCTGACGTGGTGTTAGGTATAATAGATGCTCAGGGGGCACAGTCATTACAGCATGACTCTGGCATCAGACAGAGCTGGACTCAGATCCCTGATGACCTGTTCACTAGCAGAACATTCTTGGGTGATTTCTTGACCCTTTCTATGTTTCAGTTTGCTCATACATAACACAGGCATAAAACAGACCTTCCTTAAAGTGTTCTACAGAACAAACATAATGATGATGTACATGGCACATAGTTTGACACATCATCCAGTGCTCTGTCTGGAACTCTTAGGGGAAACATCACCAAGTCCCCTGCTTGGCATTCATTTAGAACCATTTTCTCTTTGGTATAAAAGCTCAGACCAGAAAAAGAGTATTTATGATGGCTCTGGCTCTTTCCTTCTTTGCTTCGGGGAGTCATTGCTTCACCATGGTAAGGAGACTGTTATCTACAGAAAAGCCACTTCTTCTGTGCATGTATGTGGAGCCCTCAATTATAAATGCACCCAAATCACCTTCAACTCTAAAAACTAAGTGGACAATAAGCAGAATTTTCCCTTATCTCTCAGGAAAGACTCTTTCTCTTTTTACAAAGTTTATACTATCACAAGAAGAAATAAAATAGAAAACTAATGTTAGAACCAACATGTCAATTAGCTTGTTGTGGCTGGGCCAGTCACTCCATCTCTGTATTTCTCAGTTTTTCCATAGAAACTTAAAAAAATAATACATGCTATTTGGGTTTGTACATGTTATTGCCACTATGTTAATGCAGAAGGTAAAATTATTAGATTTGGGGAGCTATAGCCTAATCAATAAATTCATCCATTTGATGGATTAATCATTTGAAAAGATGACTATATGGCAACTATAGGCAGGTGAGGTGTGGCTGGAGAAAGTGGATCTCTGGGGATGTGACCTTGGGGATTATATCTTGTTCCCCTGGGGTCTTCCTTCTCTCTCTCTTTTCCTGTCTTCCACAGTTGTTTTCCTCCAACATACCTTCTGCCATGATGCTCTGCCTCACCTTGGGCCCAGACCCAAGCAGTTGGCCAACTATGGACTAAATCTCTGAAACTGTGAGCTCAAAATAAACTTTCCTTCCTCTGAGTTGTTTTTGCCAGGTATTTTGATCACAGTGATTTCAAGATCATTAAAACCTGTGTTTTACCGTCACTGAAGAAGAGAGCCCATGTAACATGTCCCCAGCTTTTGTCTAAAAGTAAAAGGCATTTTCCAGATTCACCTTACTCAGAAGCTAATGCATATTCATTAACAGTATGGTATTTAGGCTACTGAATAAAGTGCTGTGTTATTAGCCGTCTTTCATGATCACACAGATTTTAAAGTAAAAAATGCACATGTGTAATTTCCAACTTTGAGCTGTAAATATTCACGAACAAAGTCTGTGCCTCACCTCCTCCACATGTCACTGTGCAGGGAAAGAAGTCGGTTTGTCTCCATTGATGGCTGATGGGCTGGTAAAAGAAGAACTGGACCACACTGTCTTTGGCCACAGTGTACCTGGTCTGGACAGAGAGAACTGTGATACACATTTGCATACAGTGAGCTGGTGTTGTCCATGCCTTTCAGACCCCACAAGTGTCACAACACACTTTGATACATGAGGAGTGCAAGGATTTTAAGATATAATAGCATTTCAGTTAGACTTGTCATAAATGGAGGCCAAGGAAATTCTCAACAAATCCCTTTGGAGTCATTTTTCCAGATCATTCCATTCCTGAAAGTGGATTCACAAAAAATATATGTGGCCTTGCTTCTTTAATTTAAATTTTTCCTTTTTATGTTTTAGAACATTTGATTTTAATTCCCAAGATGACAGAGATCGAGACTTACTGTGGGTTTGCTCACAACAAAGCACATGACTAGGATTCTTTTTGTGGTTGTTGTTCTTATTAATTATCCATGACAGTAGAATGGTTTTGACATATTAAACATATAAGGAGTATAACTTCCCATTCTCCTGGTTGTGTATAATGTGGAATTACATTGGTTGTGTATTCATATATACATATAGAAAAGTAACATCCCATTCATTCTACTATCTTACATGACTAGGATTCTTACATTTTACATAGTAACATCTTTAAGCAGTTTCTTCTGAAAAATCCTTCTACAAGCACAACTGCAGAAACTCTGCTCACTGTAGTAGTGTCTGGTTAAAGGGAAGGGGCCAGGACAAGAGCAGGCAGTTGTACACAAAAGTGAATTTACTCTCAGATGTTTTTCTCAAGCAGCACATTGTCTCCTTACTTTTTTCTTCTCTTCCCCACTGATTGAACAAATGCACAAACTGAGGGGAACTTCCAGGGTGGAGCATAAAGAGAAAAAAAGAAGGAAAACAAATCAAGCTCATAGGAGAGAGGTCCAGAAAAGTCCACAAATACAGGGAGTTCAAGATCACACACTTGAATATTGCAGAGAAGAGATTCTATGTGTTGTCACCACAGGAAAATAAAGAGTATGTGAGGTAATATATATGCTAATTAGCTCTAATCATTCCACAATGTACACATCTTTCAAAACACGTGGTACACCATTAACTACATACAACTTTTATCAACTAGGAAACATTTCAGAATATCAACATATTAGAAAAATCTGAAAATGAAATTGGTTAGAAAAACCAAGAAATTAAATTTTAATGGGAAAATATAGCAATAAATATAATTTAGGGCTGAGACTGTAAAATAATTTAGGGCTGGGCACTCAGTGATAAAGCTCTTGCCTTGCATGTCTGGGGCACTGGGTTCAATCCTCAGCACCAGATAAAAATAAATAAAAAAACATATTGTGTCCATCCACAACTAAAAAAAATTTTTAAAAGAATAATTTAAAAAGAATGTTCCATGACATGAGAAAATATTCATACTATAGTTAGTGTAAAAATTAATTTAGAAAAAAGAAAAATTTTAAAGAAAAATTTAAGAAGATTATAAAAACACTAAAGTATCTCTTTTTTAAAAAAGATGGAGATAATAAAATAACAAAGAGGCAATATTTTTTTATAAAATTGCTAAGACTTTCCTAGACCTTAAAAGAAGATAATGCTCTTTATTTTCAGAATTCTTATTGTGTTCTAAACTTACATTTAGAAAATAAAAGAAGGATAAAGAAAAAAACCTTAAAATTATCAAAAAGAAGAAAAATAATTACCTAAAAAGGAAGTATTAGATTTCTCACAAGCAATACTGGAGGCAAGATAAGAAAATCATATTTTCAAAGTGATGAGGGACAAGAGTTTTGGATTTAGCATTCTATAATCAAATTATTAATCAATAGTCAATTATCCATCTATAATCAAAATTTCAATAATAAGTGCAATAAAGATGTTTTCAGACATAAAATGACTCTGAAACTTTAACATTCAGAGACACTAGAAATAGAAAGAAATACTACAAGGGATGTAATGAATAAGAACTAAGACAGAAGAAATACAGAAGAAATTTGTTAGATACAAGAAGCAACAGTGTGAAATAAAACAGTAAAGCTTCTAGGTAAATATAAATAAAGTTTGAATGAAAAAATAAATTTGATATATTAATTGTAAAATAGCATAAAAGTTTCAGACTTGATATGTGTATGGAAGAAGAGAAGGTCAGAGTTGCAGTAATAGGATGGCTACAGCAGACGGTTACAGAGACAGAAACACGAAGGTGTTTTGCTGCTGACTGTTGCAGAATGGCTTGTTTCTGATAAATTCTCCTGTAGAGAATAAGTAAAAATACTGCATAGAATATTTTCAAATGATTTTAAGGCATCAGGGAACTACCATGCTAGTGAAGATATGCAGGGTAAAGATCCCAGACATGAAAAAAAGCCCAGAAACGTGAGCACATTTGGCACTAGGTTTGGCACCACCTTTCAACTTGAGGCATTTTCCAGTTTGCAAGCGGTGACTGAGAGGCTGAGAAACTGTGCAGACCTGTCATCAGATTAATGGAGCTGGGGAGGCAAAAACTGGAGCCCATGACCTGCCAAGGTGAGGGGAATAAGTAAATACCCCAGGCTCACAGCTGGGATCCAAGAAGGCTCTGTTGTAGGAATAAAAGCAAACTGGATAGCCTCAGAAATTTAGCAAGACCCTGTCTCAAAATAAAAATTAAAAAGGGATGGAGATGTAGCTAAGTGGTAAAGTACCCCTGGGTTTAATGCCCAGTACAAAAAAAAAAAAAGAAAGAAACTGAATATAGACCAACTTTGAAAGGGAATGAAGCCCAGGTTCAAATTATTTCAATTCCTTGTTAGATGAAGGCGATTGGCTCCTAACCTAGCTGTCTTCTAGAAGCAAAAATAGTCCAGACACAAACTGTATCTATAATCTTTCATCTAAAATATGCAACACAGACTTTAAAAATAACAAGGCATACGAAAATAAAGTTTAAAACTGAGAAAAGAATATGGAGAAAAGAATTTAAAATTACAGGAAATCTAGATATTGGCAGTAAATAACAGAAACTTAAAACTTAAGTATGGCACTATTACCCCCTCCCCACCTAAGCCTTGGCTTCACATCTTTGTTTCTTTGCTGGAGAACCCTAGCAACATCTCATGCTACTCCCATGGTCATAAAACATCAGTGTTGGAACATAGCTTTTGCCTTGGGCTCTGTTTGAGAGAATCTGAACTAAGATGCTCTGATTAAAATATTCAATAAATTACATAGGATGGATCATTTCACAGAAACAGAATAAAAAGTACAATAATCTAAATAAATATCTCAAAGGATGGATTTAATAGATTAGACCAGAGTTTGTCAAATAGTTTCTTAAAGAGACAGACAGTAATCATTTTAGGTCTTCAGGTTATATGGTGGCTTCTGTTACAACTTATCAGCTCTGCTGATGTACTGCAAAAGTAGCCATAGACAACAAGTAAACAAATGGGGGTGGCTGTCTTCTAATAAAACTTTATTTACAAAATCAAGTAGATAGCTTGCTACTCATATTCCACTGACCCTTGGATTAGACACACAGGAGAGGATAATTGTAAGATAACATATATGAAGAAAGCAGAAATTATACATAAAGATGAAAATATAATCGCAGTCCTAGAAACAGAATAAAAAGCTTGGGACAGAAGCTAATCTTCCAAAACTGATGGCATATACTTAGCCATGGATTTATGTGACACACGGACCTCAAACTGAAGAAACCCACTAATTACACCATAGTCAAATTGATGAAAACAAAACAAAAACAGAAACCACTTAAACTCAGACAAAGGAAAAAGACACATTACCTTCTAAGGAACAAAAATTAGACTGACAGCTGACTTCTCAACAGAATAAATGAAAGCCAGAAGACAATGAAGAGATATCTTCAAAGCACTGAAAGAAAATAGTTTCATAATGATAAAAGGTTCAAATCACTAGGAAGATGAAATGATTCTAAAGTTGAATGTACCTAAAAATCTAGCCTCAAAATAATAATGCAAAAGTTGCATGAATTAAAATAAAATTAGGTAAAATGTACATGGTGGCGTTGTTATTATAAAATAAAGATATTTTATCTTACAGATAAAAATCTGTAAGCCTACAATTTTATTTTATTTTTAACTTTATTTATTTTTATGTGGTGCTGAGGATAGAACCCAGGGCCTCACGTGCTAGGCAAGTGCTCTACCATTGAACCACAACCCCAGCCCAAGCCTAAAATTTTAAATAGAACAATTAATAAACATGGCCTAACTGATATATGTAGAACTCTATATTCAACAATGGAGGACTACACATCATAGTCATCCAAAATTCACTATTCTGAGCCAAAACAAAGTTTTAACAAATTTTAGAAGATTTAAATAATATGAGTATGTTCTTTCACTAACAATAGAATTAAGCTACAAAATAAAATTATTAGGAAATACCCACATACTTGGATGTTATATTCTAAATAACTCATAATATAAGGAATATATTACTAAGAAATTTATGATATAACTGAATAATTGATGAAATATTTTATACAAACATGTGAAAATAAATATAAAGTCTATACTCTGATTTCAGAGAAATTTATAGATTTAAGGGGTACATGTTATAAGAAAAAAGGATTAAAAATGTAAATATTTATCTCAAGAAGTAAGAAAAATAACAGTATATTTAATATACATAAAGTAGAAGAATAGAAATAATAAAGACAAGAACAGACATTTATCATATAGAAAGAAAACCACATAAAAGAGAGCTACAAAAGAAAAAGTTGTTACTATCAAAAGTGTAATAAAATTGATAACCCTCCAACATGACTACTCCAGGAACAGAGAGAATAAGAACAAATAACTGATATCAGGAATAAGTAAAAGGTCTCACTATAAATTATCTGAGACAGTGAACAGATAAGAGGATACTAAGAAAAAAATTACCTAGGCTAATAACTTATAAAATGTTGGAATAGACAATCTCCTTGAAATAATACTGACTTAGAAGAAATTTTAAAATCTGAAAGTTCTGTCTTTTGAAAGCACTGGATATATTAATCTAAATATTTCCTGGTTAACATTTCCAAAC